GCCAGCATCATCATCCCCATCATCATCCCCATCATCATCCCCATCATCATCTCGATCCAACAACACGCATTCAGTCCATGTTCACGATATGAAAGAGAGAATTTGATATCTGCACAGACACTGCCTCACAAGATGTTTTCTACGCTGTATGTACCAAGAGTCCTCTACAGTACATGATAATGATGATATTTTGATGCCGATATCGGATACTCAACTCTGCCATTCGGAAAGAGATAGGATGAAGGGTAAGGAAGAGAAGGAGGAGACGGAAGGAAGACTTTGTTTCAAGTCCACTACCAAACAATACAGGTTCGCAATCAACCACGTGTGAACACCTTGTATTGATATTGGGGCACAAAAGATGCGATCGAGACGTTCTTCACCCTACATATCTCGTCTCACATCGGAAAATTCGCGTCCTGCACCAGAGACCAGGCACTTGCCGACGTCTTTCAACATCAGTAAAATGCAACACCATTTGACATAAAAGCATCTTTGAAGTTCCAACATCATCGGCGTTACAACATCTCCAAAGTTACAACATCGTTGATATCACAGCAGTATTGAAGTTGCAATCTCCTCGATGTTCCATATATCCTTGAAGTGACATCAGCCTACGACTGGCGAGACGCCATTTGTTTTGTCAGGTCACGTTGTAGCCCCTCGCATTCCTGATAACAACACACGCATATGTAAGTGCTGACGTAGCCGCGAGTCAAGATTCCTGTAGACATGTACCTGTTCGATAGAGAGGGCAGCCGTCTTGTCTTGCAAGTCAGCTTCAAGTTGCGACTGGCTGTGTTGAAGCCGCTGTGAGAACAAGTCAGGGAACGATCTCCTAAGACTGACAAGCAATCATGTTAACTACCTGGATGTCAGCATCTTGCTTCCTTAACTCGATCTGCAACCTTCTCATCGCTTGCTCAAGATCGCCGACTTCCTTCTCCAGGGATCGCTCGGCCTTGTCTCGGACAGTCTCGGGATCAGGCTTCTGAGTGCGGACACTGGCATGCCATGTCACAGCATGGCAGAGGAAGTTGTTGTGCAATCACGTCAGGCGAGTCCGAGCAAGCTTCAAGGGGCCAGCCTTGTCCTCGATGCTGTTCTGCAGCGTCTTCCGAGCCTCTTCCATGGCTGACACCTCGCTCGCCAGCGCCTGGATCGATGTTTCCAGCTCCTTCTGCTCTGATCGTCAGGAGTGGAAGGGGAGGAAGAGAGGGAGGAATGGTGTGAGAGGTGGAGGCAAGGAGGGGGGGGGAGGTGAGGAGGTAGGAGAGTCGCTGGGTGGAGGGGGTGAGGAGGGGGCTGAAGCAAGAGGGGAGGAGAAAGAGAGCAAGAGGGGAGGGGGGAATACAGAGAGGAGGGGAGGGGGAGGGGAAGGGGGAGGGGGAGGGGGAGGGGGAGGGGGAGGGGAGTAAGAGAAGAGCAGTTACCTTAAGCCTCTCTGTGTCCTCTGCTTTCTTTCTCAAGCTTCTCGTTGAGTTCTCCCGCGTCTGTCTCTCCATCGACAGCATCTCTGCTCGGATCGACTTGCTCTTCTCCCGCAGCCGCTGGCCCACCAGCCATGTCAGCTCGCAGCATGGAGTCTACTCAACTACCTCAGCAGTCGCCTTGGTGCGCTCCGACTCCTCGCACAAGGTTTCAGTGCGCTTCCGCCACATGTGCGGGAAGGATGTAGCGATCTTTCGTTTGAACTCCTGCTCCGCCGTCCTCTCCGACTCCAGCGCAAGTGCACTTGAGTCGATCTGCTCGCATGTCATGGTGGCAGGAGCGACCGGTCTCGAACCTCCAACGCCAGTCGCTTCTGCTCGATGTCCTCCTCTAGACGAGCCTTGCAGCTGTCGAGCCTGCCCAGCTCCTTCTCGCATGCATCCATGACGTCGCCGAGAAGCCTGAGAGCTTGTTTCGCCCCAGTCACCTGCTCTCCTTCCGTCAGAATTTGCCCCTTCTTCCTCCGCCCCGACGATCATCACCTGCTCATGCAAGCTCCGCTCGACTTGATCTCTTGTGTTCTCGCGAGTTGGTCGCTTCCTTCGCAGGAGGAGGCATTCTTCAGCAACAGCGAGCGGTTCCTTTGACAGAAAGTGACCAATTCTTATTGCATGCCTCATCTACAAACCTTCATTCTCTCATACACCATCTCTGCCTGCGAGGCTTCCTGGTGGAGGAGAGAGATCTCTTGCGTGATAGCATCGAGCATGTTTTCCGACTTGTCTTTCAGCCTTGTCGACTCTTGTATGTTCTGCTCTAACGCCCTGGACGACAACCTACAAACATCTTAGAACCATCAAGTCTGTTCGGCCAAGTACTTGTGATCGGTGATCATCGTCTCTTCAGTTGCAAGTCGTGCTCCGTTTGAAACCGCCTGCGACATGCTGTCATTGGAGAATTGCTCCTTGCTGACTCCTCACTCTCTGGTTGGATGACATCACTCTCATCTTTCTTGCTGTATCAAGCAGATCCTTGGTGTTCTGCTCCCACTGTCCGCAATACATCAGCATCCTCACACTTGAACGCTCAGCAAGAGCGTTTGTGATACCGCTGCTTGTGACTGTTGTAGCTGAGAGACAAGACAAGGTCGTCAGTCAATTGCGGGTGAAGCTGGTCACCCTACCTTGTGAGGAGAGGATATGGAGGCAACCTCGCTAGTCGCGGGCCTTGAGCTGTGCGGGACATTCCAATCCATGTTGGAAGGAGACGGCTGCAAAGATCGTTATCGGGACCAGCTCGCTGCTAATGAGCAAGATAGGACAATCCTAGCCTAATCAGTGA